GGTTTAAGTTTATCCCAAATGAGATGGTTGACCTTCGTGCTGGTGAGACATTCACAGTTTTCTGGCGTATTATAGCGATTCTGTGTCGCCGTCAGAACTTCGTCCGTAAGCTTTTCTCTCATTAAGCCATGGACAATTTTGGCGATCTGCTCATTTATAGCAGGAGCCTTCTTTTGATCAAGTTTGAGATCGTTCGCAATGCCTGACAGTAGGTCAATTTCCCCATCAGGAACATCACGCTGAGATTCAGAGCTCTGATTTATCAGAGTGTTAATGCTCTGCTCAGTTGTTTGAGAACTTGTAGGCTTTTTAGCCCCACTATTTGACACTGCGGACCCAGATTGCTGGTTTTTGTCCGACTGCTGTGTGGATCGTTGGTCCATGTAGGCGGCTATTTCTAGCTGTTCTTCAGTTTCAGCATTTTCCTCTAAAGAACCTTCCTCGATTGCGAGGTGGTCAATGGTGTCCTTCATCTGACCGAGGGATTCAGTCATGGTAAACTTCAGTGAAGTGATGGAAGAAACTAGCAGCTCGCTCATGGAACTGATGGCCGCGACGATGGCCGACTCGCTGTTGCTTGGCGCAGCGCCATTTTCAGCAAGTTGAGATTCTGTCATTTTCGGCTCTATTGACGATTTGTTTTGCTTCCAGTTTGGTACGTAGACACCTTCTAATGTACCTCACGGCTAAATTGAGAAAATTTTCCGAATTAACTGTTCTAACACCGCGCCTGTTTTTTGTGCTGACCGACTCGAGCAAGGCGGGAAGTGCACTGACCACTTGAGCGGCTGGTGCTTTCTCACGTGACTTCGTAGTGCGTATGATGACGAGGCAGAATCACACCATTTGCAAGAGTTACCCTCAAGCCTCATTTTGCACTATGTGGCACTATGTTTAAAAAAGATGATTTGAGTAAGATGAGATATAAGTAGGTTTCCTTCTGATTTCGTCATCATTTATCAGTGCACATCTTTATACATGTAGCAAGGCCCTGCAGAGAAGATGGCAAAGGGTTTATATATCACAAATGAACAAGGCCAAAATTAATTTGTGACCTAGGAACAGAAGGACGCATGTGTTATGTAGTGTGATTTGCTTACTGATGTATATGTAACTTGTGAATTTTTTGATTCATTTCATGAAAGAGACACTTTCCCTGAAACCTGGCATACAAGAAGAGATCATAAGTTTTCCCTTTAAAATTTGTGGAGCATGAAATATCTGTAATGAAGGGGGATCCTGGCTCCTTTTCTTGCACAAATTTTAGAAAAATCCATGCACCATGTATACTTAAAATAGTGGTGGCAAAGAGGGGACCTTCCAGGAAGTGAAAGTGGCCAAAAAAAGTGGAAGTGGTTCCAGTGTACCACTTTTGTGTGTGTGTGTGTGTCCACTTTTGCTGAACACTGAACAAATGTTACTGGAACAAAACATCAGGAAGAGTTTCCCAAAACATTAGAGAGTGACTTTGAAAACAATGATTTTACTTTTACTCTGTAGATGGATCTAAAACATTGTGCACAGATTGGGATCAAGACTAAGCCCTTGTCACTAGGAACTGGTGGCTTTCAGCAGCACTGCTTACTGCACTGAACCATAACAAAAGGGCCATGACAAGAACTACTCCATTATTCTGTGGCATTATCTTATTTCTCCTGATGGAAAATATTTTAAAGTGAAATTATGTGATAAGTTCTTCTGAAAGTTAGATTTTTTCATATTGTGGTCAGTTAACTGAACAAAAATGTACAATTCCTGCTATGAAACCCTCCACGTTATCCCAATGAATGGTAGATGTCCTAAAGCTAAATGTTTATCCATTGGGACTTGTCATAGCTTTTAAGACCATATGATAATTTTATTAACTTATGTTGGTTGTCTTGTGTGGAACACATATTTGAGAATAATTTTGTCAGGCTTTCAATTGCTTCCCCCTTCCCCTAAACCAAGAATCCATAGATGATTTAACAAATGTTGTAGAAGTGTAACCACCAAGCCATCTTGTGATCTCTTTATTTGTTCATTCAATGAGGACAAAAATTGTCATTTACAACTTTACATTATATACTTACCTCCAATAATAATGTTTTTTCAGGCATAACTATTTAACTAGTCCATTTTTTGTGCCTTTATTGGTATTACCATAGTGAGTCTTTGTTTCATTATTGAATTATTTTGCTAACAAATTAGTCTGATTCTCTCATGAATGGATGTGTACTAGGGCCTTGTTCTGATTTAGAGGCAGTAACATCTCAAAAATGGGATATTTGTCTAAGAAAACTACAACTCAGACAAAGTCATTATCATGTATTACAAAAGGAGGGTTTGCATATCGTAAAATATGAATCTCACAAGACTTCTACAACCTCTGTTTGTAAGTCCAAGACCCAGAGATAACAACAACTTATCACAATCAGTAGACGCAGATCAGAGTGAACTAATCAACTACTAATCTACAACACTTCAAATCACACAAATTTTTTGTTCATCATGACAGTAACTCTGAGCTACTCTACTTTTAGACCCTGGTGGCAGGGATAACCAATCCCAGACTTTGGGAACCTCAAAAGTAATTCATTAATTTGGCAACTTAATCCACTCTACCCTAAGCCCATTGCTAAATTCTATTTTATAATTTACATTTATTTGCATCTTCCCCAGATTGGATTTTACTGTGGCCACCTACTACACAAGAAATTCCCCTATTATTTTCCAGATACCAGCTTACTCAATTAAATCTTGGAATTAGAATTATGAATGCAATATTTTTCATTAAATGACAGATTACTCCTGACCTCATTGAAGAATAGGAATGAATCCCTTATAAAGATAAAAAAAATGCTCTTCCGCACAATATTTTCAAAAATGCGTTTTAAATCTTAAAAATATTGAAAAAGTACACCCAACTATTAAATGCATGTGGATACAATCAAAATAATGGGAACACAATAAAATCTTAATTTTGAGAGTAGAATTATGAATGCATCATTTTTCATCATTAAATAACAGTACCACTGATAACATCATTCAAAAATAGGAATGAATCCTCATTGAAAACGTAGCTCTTGTTCCATACAATACTTTGAAAAAATGGTTGTTTTAACATTAAAATCCAAAAAATTTGAAAAGTGCACCCAACCCCCACAAAATGCATGTATCCTACAATCTTCTAAACAATTAATGCGTGTATCATATTCTGTGCCATAATCAAAGAAAGTATTCTCAATTCATATTCTTTGCACCTGGCTGTGACATATTACAAACTCTAGAGAACAAATAATCTTAAAAATCAACAAGTTATTTCAAAGGAATACTACTATTTAATAACACAATTTCCAGCACATGACACTACAATCACTATCTGGATGAAAAGAGAGACCAGTATTATGATTAAATTGAGTCAATTATACCCCAACCCAAGAATTTTTTTTTCTAAACACTGGTTTCTGTCCATTTCCTATTTATAAGGCCAATACCTTTGAATGTTTGTCAAGAAAATTTGAACAGCCCTACTAATTTACATACAATCATTACATTCTGTGGCTGTAGAAATATTATCTAAGTTTAGTCCTAAATTGTCCAATTTTCAATATTATTTTATCCTTTCATCAATGTTGAATGACTTGTTTCTTCCTCCTAATTATCCATTGCAATTCTTGTGTATTGTATGAATTTCCAATATACTTGTAAATAGACTAACCTGAATTTTCCATAAATGTGGGACAGGAACTTTACAATGCATTGGGTTGAGATCATTGTTTGAACCATAAAGCAACAAAAAAAGCGATACTGACTTAGACAAGCCACATGGACTGTTGCAATGTCTCAAATTGCTTAACATTTAAATTTTACCCGTATCATATTTAATAACAAATCTAACTTTATCAAACATTACTATCATTATGGTTATCTGATGACAGTTGAAGGAACTCCAGGTTGTAGAACTTTTGAAAGCAAGGTGTGCTTCTAGTTCTCTTTGAAGAACCAACATTTTCTCACAGTGCTGGGTTGTACCTCAGCTCTCCCTCTCGGAACCTCCTCTTGAGTTCCCCCCAGAGAAGGCCTCTCTCTTTGAGCACCCCCTTAAGAAGGCCTTTATTTTCCACTGCTCTTCGAGAGAGGTATGGCAGAACGTCTTCTACAGGTCCAAATGGAACATACTTGTACACAGCATACCCTTCATTACCTGAATCAGAGATGAGAATTGTTCTCAGTGAAGTGATGATTAGCAATCAATGGGAATTTAAACCTCAGGACACTGGTATTATACAGGAATATCTGAGGTTCTGTTTCAGAATTTGTTACTGAACCTTTAATAACTTGTGAACAGTGAGGCTACAAGCCAACCTGCAATTTTAATTCAAGTCATCAAGCATGACTATACTTGACAACAGCAATGATAGACAAATATTGTGAATTGGAATCCTCATGATTCATAACATGACATTTGGAATCTGATACGATGAATATATGAAGTTCATATATTCAATTGGAATCTATTAACCAGTGTATGTTTCGGAAGAGGTCTGTGATATAATTGACTGCAGTGTAAAGCAGAAGACATTTCATCAAAAAGCACAATAAATACAACCTCCTCCTTTACTCCATCTGAGTGACATATATATGTCTTATTAACCAAGTGGGAGGGCCATACTGGGAGAATATAGGCCTGAGGTCTTGACAGCACAGACCTTGCTGCGCTCGGTCCGTACAAAAAAGACCCGAGGGCCAATATTCTTCCAGTACGGTCCCAAGCAAGCTTGGTTAATAAGAGATTTATTATACGACTTAAGTTCAAAGGGACAAAAGTGCGGTATCATTCGGGACCATTCGGGACAGTGCCAGGTCCAATACTGAAAGAATATTGATCGGCAATAGAGCATTTTGATTGGTTGATTTTAGTTATTGGCCCTCTGACTGCCCGAGTCGTGTAATAACTAATGTGAATTACTCATTGTCTCCTCCCCTGCCTCATTGGGCCACACCTCTCCTTCCCTGTAAGGGCACTGCCAGGTTGCATGCAAGAGCCAAGTACACCATTACTAAAGGCATTCCTATCTTGCACAAAATATAGATGTGTAACTGTAGATACCTAATGTAAATGATATTGCATCAGACATTCCAAAGAGCTGTCCAAAGAAGACTTTCCTTTCCTGAGGTGAAATTCCCAACTCGTGCATCCTATGGGAAGATAGAAAAAACTTGTTCTAACTCTGTGTGATCATGAAGAAAATAATAGTATCCCATTTGCCACAGGCCCTCAGCAGTTCACAATTACAGGGTGCAAAATGCTATATGGCAGTGCAAAATGCTATATGGCAGTGCAACTGTCATATTGTGCACTAGGACATCAAAAGCAAAGTCAATTTAAAGTTGAGAAGGTTGTAAATAAAATTTGGTTTTAACAACTGAGTTGATGAGTAAGTTGGCAAATTTACATCAACTCGGTTGATAAAACCACATTGTCTTGTTATACTCCCTCATGCAGACGGATGCAGCACCATAGTTTCTGTGAAACTTACCCCCTTATTATTGTAAAGAAATTGGTGCTTTATTTTAAAAATCTCAACAAAATGCAATTTGAATGGAATGAATGGCAGAATTTATATCACGACCCAAGGGATTCAATATCCTTTCCCACAAGTGGCTGCCGATGGTGTAATGTATAGGTGGCTGTGGCTGGAAAGGGGCTGCAAGATGAACCTAAAACACGAGAGCTTTCTCTCAAGCTAAACAGATGGTGGTTTGAGCTTTAATGGGTGATGGTAAACCACAAAATTACCTGTTGATGGCCACTTTGATGGAATTCTCATTATGAGTTGCCACAATGACATTAGCATTTCCTCTCTTTGTTTCCTCTAACACTGCATTCAAAACTTCATCAAAACATTTGCTAGTTGCCTTGTAGCTTGGGTGAATTGGCTCAGGGTAGCCTATTGTGCTGGCCCTTAGTCGCTCTTGCTCCATATAAGCACCTCGCACAAGCTTAGCACCAAACATGTAGCCTTCTCGTCTGGCCAACTCTATATCTGTCTGTATCTTTGTGTAGGTGTCCTAGGGAATAGAGCATGACAACAATCTGACATTATAAGCATTGTTTTCATACCAAGTGTGATGTAGCAATATGTAGTACAATAATAGAGCATAACAACCAACAGTCTAACATTATAGGCATTGTTTTCATACCAAGTGCGATGTAGCAATATGTAGTACAATTATAGATAGCTTCCCTCTGTGGGTTCTTAGGTTACATTTAGTATAATTAATTCATGAAGTTTCTGCAGCCTTACATCAGTTCTTGACCTCTTGACTTAGCCCTTACAGTGGTGGAATCTATGAAATAGTACTATCAAGTGCTGTTTGTTTCTATTGGTTCAGTAACAGAAGCATGTTAGTATTGTTCCTATCCTTAATCTCCAGAGGAGGCAAAAAAAACAAAACAAAAAAACAAACCCTTGACCTTTAAGAGTGACTTTAGTATCAATTTTAACTTCTCTTTTCAATATTACCCCTGGAGCTGACACATTCAGGTAAAACTAAAGAAGTGCTTGATTGATTAAATAATTCTCCTTGTCAGCATTTCAAGAAATATATGAAGAAGAGTATGGAGAAAGGTAAATAGAAGATACATTCTGATGTTATGGTGATAAGGGCCACACCAATTCTTGGCTTAATCTACCCTTGTACACAGTGCAGGTACCAAGAAAAGACTAAGACTTTTATGTATGTGAAAACTTGTACGCAAACACTCACCTTTCTATAACACTGGTATGCGTATACATAGACCAACCTGCACTAAGTAAATACTAGGACTTTGATGTATGTGGAAACTTGCAAAAAAACACTGACAATTCAAATAACACTGGTACATGTACATAGTGCAACCTGCACTAAATAAATACTAGGACTTCCATGTATGTGAAAACTTGTAAAAAAAAAAACACTGACCTTTAAATAACACTGGTATGTGTTCATAACAAGTGGTGTTTCCTTGTTGAACTTCCTCATCAAGTCTAATGTGAGGTGTCGTATGGCAGGTTGAAAGTAGGTTTGTTCAGCATCAACCATAAGCCTCACACCAATTTTTGAAGCATGCTAATAATTAAACAAATAAAGTTCACATAAAAATTAAGTTTCTGTTTGTGGAATCCTCTTGGAAGGTGCAAGTACAAAGTTCTTTAAGCTCAAATGTTGCAACAAGGATCCTTTTCCCTTTCTATTGTCTCCTTTGCTAAGATGGAACCATTTTTTTCTTTTGTTGGAAATAACTTTTATCAAGCTCCTTGCAAGAAATACTTGAGGCATGAAAAAGTTTTATCACTGACAGTACTTACTACAGTGTATCCAAGTCTACATTTAGTAGTACTTTTTACCAAGTGGAAAACTAAAAGTGTTTTTGTAGTTGTTGTATGCCTTTTTTAAGAGTAAGGGCTAACAAGAAGACAGAGCACACCTCAGCAAGAGTTGTTAGTCTGTTTGCCATGTTTTCCATTTGAACAAGTTCCTCGTTTGTTAGAACTGAAATTATTGCCCTTCCTGACTTCTCCTATGATAAAAGAAAATTACTGTGAACCCCATCAACCAATTACATTTATTTATGAAAATCCATTGAGTCCACACAATCATACTGTCATTTTTCCCGAAGTGTTACTAAAAAATATTTTGCATATGCAAAATAATCTATTATTAATAGATTAATTATAAATACTGAAGCTCCTTGCAAAAGATAACAATCTATAGGTGAACAAGATTCCACTTTCTTTCAAAAGGAGATGAATACTTAAAAACTTACATCCCCCAGTGGCTTTGCCTTGAATAACTGAGAAAGTTTCAGCTGTGGGGTCAAGAACTCATGCCATTCTATGGCATCAATATCACTAAAGTAATGAAAATATAAGAGCAGTTAGTGAGGACCAGACATGACAACAAGTACATAGCAATAATTTAACTCTAAATTATGGTTAGCGAGTGCTGTAAATTTGTTTCACACTTAACATTGCCATTTCTGTTGACTTTTTGTGGTATTTTGGTTGGGTCAAAGAAGGATTCAGTATAAGCCTTTAATGGCCCACTGGGAAATAGAAACATGGGGAGTCCACTTGAAAGAACACTGGGGGTGGGGAGTATTGATGAATGGAGAATGGGTGTGGTGGGTGAGGCAGGGCTAATATTCTAACTACATTGGACAAAAGCTTTCTGCAAGTAAAAAGCAAAATAGCCTCTCATGCCATCAGCCTTTAATTTTAATTAGAATAAATTATAATCACACAGGTTGCTAACCAACAGTTTGCAAAATTTTTGAAAACGTTGGAGTGAAAATTTGGCTAAAAATTCACATCATCTTATGCTCATTTCATAATAAACAAATTATAGTCATTATTCTGAAGTTTATTTTACCCTGACTTGTTGGTGTCAATCAAGTCAAATATTCTGTTTGCTTCTTCTGGGCTCATCTCAACCTGACAGTGGAAAAAAACGATCATGCAATTAATTCAAACATCTATCAAAATATCACTCTGCTTCACACTGCCTGGAACTGTACAACTGTGCAAAGTGAACCCTTCAAAAGAGAGTATCAATTACCCCAAGTCTTTTGAGGCCTTCAAAGAACTTGTCTCTAGCAACACTGTTTCCAATCTTATCCATCAAGACAGAATCTGAAGCGAGATGATCAAAGAAGTACTGCGTCTGATTCAGAATTTCTGAGATTCTCATCTGTAGGAAAGGAAGCATACTTTTTGAATTTAATGATGTATCAGTTTCAAAGGCGAAAACTAATATACATTCTATATTCTACTACTAAGCCTTTACAGTTATGTACTCATATCCACTAAATTTGGGCACTAAATAGCTGTTCTGGTCAATTTTGAATGAAGGGAAAGTGTCATTGAATATTTGCACCTATCTGAGTCACTTTTTTAAGATTAACTTTAATGGTAATCGAACTGAGTGGAGTGCAATTTGGTCTAAAATCACAAGTAAAACACCAAGTTCCCTGGCCACAATTCAATTGCCCAACTGCTCAGAGCCAGTGAGGGACAAGGATCCTCAATTATTTCAAAACAAATGTAATGAGTTAAGCCATTATTTAGTTCTTTTTTTCCCATGGTCTAAAAAATTTAGTCTAAAAAATTTAGTCTAAACTTGAGTCTTTGTGCTTGTGCTAGCATCAGTAGTGAGTTGGAATAATTGTCTTAATCTTCTAAATATGCTTTACTCACAAGTATCTGAGGCCTTCCCAAGGCTGTAACCTTGATTGCAGCAAAGCCATCCTGGGAAGCATTTGCTGTAATACATTAAAAAAAGGTAATTCAACATACTTCAGCAGTGCTTTTATACTCAACCTATTCTATCTATCCCATGTTTAAAATTCAACTAGGTTTACACTGTGATCTTACCTGCTGCATCAATGCATTTGAAAAATGTGTTGACTCTCTTTTCACATTCTTCTTCTCCTTCATAAAAATATGTCCTGGCACTGTACACTCCTTTCCTCCTGTCAGCAAATTCTTCATGGGGTTTATACTTCTCATGTTCATCGGATGGATCCACTGAGTCTTCAGCACTTTGTCCTATATGACTTTTGGTTTCACTCTCTGACAAGTCCTCTTCGACAGAGTAATCTAAAATTGCACCAACTCCAAACTTCTCTAAATTAGCAATTGCTGGCTTGATTGCTTCTTGATCTTCACCAGCCACAAAATGACCATAAAAAGAAGCCTTCATTAATTTCCTGAACAAATGCTTTCCAAGAATCTTTTGACCAAGCTGAAGCAACTAAAATTGACACATGTACAAAAGTAAAAAAAAATTGATGCAAAATGCTCAGTGGGTCTGGTAGATATATTGTATTTATGTATCAGTTACAAGACCTCAGGAACTTTGAAATAACATGAAGTAAAGCTCAAATTGTTAAAGTGCACCTACACCCAAAAATTTTTTTTCGCTTAACGAAGTAAGCTTATTATTTTGAGTATTTCTGCGCCAAAATTTTTTTATTTGCTCAAATCTTCAATTTTCTATGCCCAGTCAAAATACGGAAAATCGGCCGCCATCTTGCCCCACAACCGAGTTTAAAGAGGAATGGCTCTAGTGGGTAATGTGACGTCAAATCGAGAACACGAAAGTCTGCATTTCACACATTTTCACTTGTTTGGGAAGGTTGTAGTTGATAATTGTCCGAAAATATGCCGGCTAAGTGTGTTGTAGAAGGATGTAGCAACGTGCGAAATTTGCAAGAGGGTATCGCGCTTCATACATTCTTCATACAACACACCTAGTCGGCATATTTCGGACAATATCGACGACAATCTTCCCAAACAAGTGAAAATGTGTGAGATGCAGACTTTCGTGTTCTCGATTTGACGTCACATTACCCGCTAGAGCCATTCTTCTTTAAACTCGGTCGTGGGGCAAGATAGCGGCCGATTTTCTGTATTTTGACTGGGCATAGAAAATTAAAGATTTGACCAAATTAAAAAATTTTTGCACAGAAATACTCCAAAAAATAAGCTTATTTCGTTAAGCGAAAAAAAAATTTTGGGTCTAGGTGCACTTTAATTTAAGTGAAATCAAGGAAAGATTTCCATATAACCTCATACATAAATTGTGCATTCCATTTCATAAAGGCTAAACATAAAGGTTTCTCTGCAACACTCTATGCATAGTTAATGGAGTCATGGAAATCTTGCCAAAATCAGTATCTACTGTAAATGAGCATCCACATGACTCTTCTCAATGGCTGCTTAAAAGATTTTCCTCATTATGGGGTTTGCCTTGTACAAATTTCTCTGTAACATGAATTTGCTCTGATCTCAGTTAAAATAAACTGGTTGATCAATTTTGAGAAAATGGAGATAGAAAAAAATTAATAGAATATTATAAAATTAAGCAAAAAGTGCCACAAAAGACGTGAGTAATCTAACACTGAAATCAGCAATCAGGTTGAATGATAAAGAGCTCCATTCTAGGAAAATGAATAGACTTTCTGAATTGCATCATTGAATAAAATCTCACATTCTGAATGGTTAACGAAGCAAGGTATTTAGTGTGGAATTGTGAGTTGAAAACGAGGCTAAGTGATAGTGTTTCGCATCTATGTAAACATAACAATTTTAAGTGATGCTGTTTCCTTTTTTTTCTCATTTTTATTCAGTTATGCGATTCAAGGAAAATCCATGACTTCACTCATGAATTCCGTATTAAATTGCACTTGAAAACCAATATCGCACTCATTGCTTCGCGATTCATGCAATATCGGTTTTTGTGTGCAATTTAGTGCAGAATTCCCTCGTCAAGTAATGAATTTTCCTATAGAATACTTAAAATGTGTTCCTGATCCTGAAAGCAACACAGCTTATTTACTAGTGCATATGTTTATGTTTGACAAGTGACAAAGACCGCCTCCCGGTTAGCTCAATTGGTTAGAGCACTGGACTGTTGTGCATTAGAGCCCCAGCTAGACCAACACTCAAGGTCTTAAAATAAGTGAGGAGAATGTGCTACCTTTCTATAATATCAAGAAATTGATAGACATTCTAGTATTCTCGGATAAGGATGAATAAACCATAGGTCTCGTCTCTTGCATTTATCAATTAGGTATAATTAGGTTAGGCAGGGGACATTGAAGAACCCACTCATGAAATTCCTGTGATTTGGTCTGGCCTGTTTACTGGGAATAGGGGGTAGCCTTGCATATATGTCAGTTATAGATGTTGCAAGATGATATATGTAAATGTAAATGTAAATTGTTAGTTCAATCTTTCTGGAGGTGTGTACACTGGTGTTCCAATTCCAATGAGTAAGACAATAGTACTGTAGTAACGAAACTGGTTGAAGCTTAAATCGCTGCGAGGTTGTGAAACGGGCCAAAGCTCAATACTTACAAGTGATTCTGATACACTCACATGTCGAGACATGCCGCTTCATGTATGATCGCATCTGACAGCCCACAAGGAAATAGATGTATTAACTCACCAAAACGATACATAGTTGATAAGTACATTAAAATTTAGAGGCTTGAGAAAAGTTTATTTTGAAATCGAGCACAAAAAAATTGTTCATCTAATTTAAAGACAAGAACTCTTTTATACTCGACTTAGAACACCTTTTGTTTTAATAAAGGAAAGCACAATTTAACATTATTTCGACAACCATTTCAGTTGAGCCTCCTACTTGTCTTCATTTGTTATTCGAGATTCAAAATTACGCAACAGAATAATTTTAAAGTTTAATAACTTCAAGACTGGTGCTGCGACAACAAATGTTTTGAGATTTTCATTTACATCAACTGCTACCTATATTCTAGAAAGGGAATATGGTTTTCAGTTTCCCATTTTCTTAATGTTTTTCGTAATTTCGCGATCGACATGTCGGGTAGTACAAGAGTGGTTCGACGTCTACTGAATTTATTCACTCCCCAGCAACGTTAGATTTTGAAGAGGCTATCATTGAGTTACTTCAGTAGCTTTTTTTCGTCTATCCTATCATGTTCAACAGGAATCAAATCATAAAATATATATGAAAGTTTCCAACAACAATTTGACAGTTGGAGTTCCTACTTCTGATGTAAACAACACCGAACGAGGATCACCACAACGATAGAATGAGTTCGCACTCTGTGATTCGCGACTACCCCACAAAATATCTTAAGTATCGACACTGTTTGGTAAGAAACCTTTTGGATAAAGAGCCCCAGACGACTTCTAGATCTTACTAAAATTCTGCTGTACCTGAAAGTTACGAAAGAATTAAGATGTGTCTAGACTGCCAGGCTACTTCAGAAAGACGAGATAATGGAAAAGGTCGAAACTTACCTCTTTATTTCTATTCACCAAAATATCGAAAGTGCACAGTCTAAAGATGGCCAAAGCCCGAATAATCTCCCAAGTCGTTTTCGATCGGAACGCGTTTTTGCCGTCGTTGAAGCTCAATCCACCACCTGTATTGACGGGACTGGCAGAGGTGTGATCCCTATCAGGAGAAATTGTTGCAGTCCTTGTAACTTCAGCAAAGCTATGACTACTTCTTCTTAATGAAAATAGCAACGATCGAGTATCATTCGATGATCGTCCGCTCAAGAGAAGTTTTGATCTCCACGACCGGCAACACTTAACGTGCCTCGCCATTGTGCACGTAATGGACAAGTTACTTCCAGTTCCTTCATCAAGTCCCACCTCTGTATTGTTGGCGCGATTTTTGTGCACGTGATTTCGATTACAACCTGTTTGTCTGGTTTTTCCTGGTCTGCAGAGTATCTGTAGTTTGATACGTCAAATCTTAAATTTTCTTCGATAATCGATCTTTTTCCCCTGAAGAAAACTTTAAGAAGTGGTTAAAAAAAGAGGAGGAGAAGAAAAAAAACTTGGAAACTAGAAAAAAAAAAATCATGTTTCATACAAACCGGATCTAAAGTTATATTAAACTTGCAACATTTTCGCTGACAAAAAATTAATTATGGATAAGCGTTCGGCTGAGTTGGACCACAGTTTTGAAATAACAGGGCTAGCCCAGTGCGTATGACGGAAACAGGTTTTAAGATCAATTAGTAGGAGGAATATGAAACTACCTCAATAATAGAAGTTTTTAAAATTCAGTTTAAATCTCACAAATCTCACCCATACTGTTGGAATAACTGTTGAATCACTGCGAAAAGATATCGAAGCTGCTAAGTGCCATGTACCATTGCTCACTGAGAACACAGCGAAGAAACTACCTGTACCTCATTAATGCTAATAAGGTTTTGAAAAGTTGTCGGCTCGATACTTTGAATTGCAAAATAGACATATATATTTTTTAAAGCCACGCTTCTTTTTTCTCGTTTTCAACCGTAAAAAAATTGGTAAACTAAATAAGCCATCGAGCTTGTATCTCTACAGAGTATATGTACAAATAAATTATTAAGTATTGAGAGCCCTACGATGAACTCTTCCGTCGCGCTACGTGACTGTTTTCCAAAACTATAAAGTTGCGTTACATAACAAGCTTTCAGAATTTCAATATGGCCGCGCAGCGGCGAATGGCTCGGAATATCTCGTTGAGAGAGGTATGAATGACTCGATCTCCAGCTATAAGGCATCCTGTTTTATGTGTACTAATTCGTATGCTATTTTCCTTTGAGGAAAGACGGTGTAATCTCTTCTTTTTTCACACCAATTACGAGGCGAAGGTATTCTCGTTAAATCCATATCCTTAAGTTTTCCCAGTAAACTATTTAAAAAAGAAAACAATTCGTCTGTTGCAGATTAAGAAACTGATATGGTGAAAGCAAATGACAGTGGTAATTTGGCTTGTAGTTACTGGTTACCCTCTCGATCTTCAGTTTTCTAGGAAATAGCGACGCTGTCAACTGCAAGTTTTCTCTGAACTGTGATGTAGACTGAGGAAAGAAAATGTCGAATTAAAAAAAAATTCTGGAGAATCCAGATTACTTGGAAACATAAAGGATTTTACCACTCTCTAAATTAATCGTGATTATGCCAATGTTTATCTCGGGCACTATGAAGGCTGTTAAAACCCACTGATGAAACCCTACCTCAATGGAGTTAGAAGGCATTCACCATACAAACAATTTTAATTGTGGAATTCAAATCAAGATTACTCTTAATGGAAAAAGTATAAATACTTAAGTACTGCTAATCAAATTATTTCTGGTAGTAATTGGGAATACTTGGTTTCCTTCGCAGCTTTTGTTTAGTCTTGTCATTCTTGTTATCTTTCCTTGTCACTTAACAATTCCTGCAATGGAGTCTTCTCATCACCCTTTGAGAGACTATCCCAAAAGTCTGTATGTGCAAGCTAACCAGGTAGTTTTTAATGTGTGTACAAAGAAGGGAAACTAAGTTACCGCAAACTTTCAAACCCCTAAGAAGGCCTTCCCCCATCTTGTCATCAGTATTCTGAAGTATTTCTTTGGGGTATTTTCTTTCATGAATATACAAAAGCCTTCAAATTATTCTTCTTTCCAGATGTTTCTTACATACATTGTTAGAGGTGAAGATAAGAGCTACAAATAGCAACAATATACTTGAAACAAAAAATTAAACCATTATGTCTATTTTATTTTAAAGATAAATTCCACAGTGAAATTTACATTCTCCATGCACAACTTTATTGCATACAGCTCTTCCTGAACTTTGCAGTATTGTTAAAGTTTGCAATCACTTCCTTCATAGAGTTTCACTACTCCTTTTTTTATTTGTTTCATCCTTTCTGTAAAGGTGTTGCCTTTATAGTTATTAATGTTCATTTGTTTCTTAGCTGTGGTCACAAGGTGTTGCCTTTATAGTTATTAATGTTCATTTATTTCTTAGCTGTGGTCACAAGGGAGAAACAGTCTTTGTAGTAGTTCTACACCCTGGTAAAACGTAGAGTTTATTGCTGTTATTTTGACATGTTGGAAAATAAATTGACAACAAAAACCTTTATACATTATTAAAGGACAAGTGTATATAGATATCTCACAAAAGTAAATCATGATAAACCTTTTAATGGAGTTACAATGAAAAAACACATCTTTTATACTTCTCAGGACAACTGCACTTACTGGTATCTCTTAATTCCTTGTTTAGTACCTTGCTGATTGACAAGCAATCAAGAAGATATTAGTTAAGTATCGTGTTCTAATGACTCTTTAAGTTGTGCTTGAAAAGATTTGAGAAAAAGACTAAAATAAAACTTAGGTCTAAAACTACTTTGAAAAATACCATAGCAGACCCTGTTAAAAGAGCAGGTCTGGATGGTACTTGCCATAGCACTTCTGGTATCTTTTTCTTGACCAGCTACATTTACTATTGATAGCTGTACTTCGATGCACTGAAGATTTGCATATTCTACACATTTAAACATATGCTGCAGCCTCAGTCCTAGTTTAAGTACAGTTGTCCACAGTTGATAAATCCATAGATTCTTCAAGGATACTTCAATTATATAGCATACTACTACTTGTGGTCATTTGACTATCGCCCTAGTAATTTCAAAGTGGCCCACCTGTACACTGTGAGAGGTTTGGGACTGTTTATTATCTTTCAAGGGGGCAAGGGATCGGTAAGACATTGGCAAACTGTACCTTCTATTCCCTTATCTCCCTGTCATGATGAAAGTTATTTTTAAGGCCCACTCTACTATCAATTAATATTTAATGTCTTAACTTACAACTTACCCCTCTTCTCAAAAGACCATCTCCACCACACAGGCACACACTCATTCAATTATATACACACTGTCACATACTTAAAACTCTTAAATGTTAAGGTTTCTTTGTTTCCTTTCCTATGGTAGTAAGGATCCACTTTTTTCCTTTTTTGTCCTAGAGAAATCATGCACAAAATGTGACCACCAAAACTACATTGTACACAATCATGATCATGAATGATTTCCTAAATTGATTTCAAATCTTATGTTTTCCAAAAAAAAGAAAGCTATTTGTGGTATAAGATATTGTTTTATTTTTTATGAGAGTAATGTATTATAATTTGACACAATACCTTCGAAAGTAAATCATCATAATCCCCACCCCTTTTATAAATAATGAATGGTCCCTCATTTAGTTCCTGCTTGTAAATCACTGGTCCCATTTTGATCTTGTAGTTTCTGCTGCAATTGGCTTTTTAAATTTTCACTGAATTGAAGGGCTTGGCTTTGCAGTTCATCAATCTCTTTTTGAAGATCTTCATTAGTTTTAATCAACTGAGCAATTTGCAGGGTAAGTTTCATAAGCCCTGCCTGTCGCAATACAGAGGCAGTGCGGCTGAAGCGGTCTGAACTTCCATTATAATGTTTCTTGACCTTTCCTTTGCCGTGATGGTGTCTGTGATGATGGTGATTGTGGGTGTGATTTCCGGAACTGCCCTTTGATATCAAATCACCAGATGTTGATGGAGAGGTACTATAATGCCCACCCCTTTGAGGGTGCTTGGATTCTCCAGGTGAAAAGCTGGCACTACTAGTAACATTACAAGACCTTGGAATGCCAGTTACCGCTGGTCTTGGGACTATTATATCACCCTAGGAGACACAAAGACATTTTTAACCCTTTACACCCAAATATTGGTATTTATATTCTCCACAGTGATCTCTCTATGATTCTTGTGGTAATGACAAGGAGAATTTGTTCAACATCAGGAGTTTCTTAAATTTGTGATCATTTCCATTATTCTTGTGACCTTAACATTTGATTTGAGGGCGATACTGTAGGGAATAATTAGAAGCCAGTCATTCTGAGGGATTAAAGGGTTAAGGAAATATTTTACCTGATTCCTCAAACTCTAAATCAATCAATCAATGAATCAATCATTTATTCTACCCTATTGCAGTAACAACTGAATTACAGGGGGTGGTCGTGACATACATTTTGAAATTTGATAGTTACAAAATCATTAAATCTTTTGCATTTGCCAGTAGAGGCCAGATATGATTGTGAACCTGAGCGCAAATTATAACCATGGTAATAAACCAGTGGTGTAAAAAACCATAAGGTGACTTCTTTAATTTTTGGATTTTTTTTTTGTTTTACGAAAAACATGTTTCATTTAAACTAGTGGTGACATGAGCATGGTATATACACTGGCTTTTAAAATCGTGCTAATTAACAGCATCAGCTTGTCTGTATAACCTTGATTAACAATCGTTTGGGGCGCATGTAAGAATGATACGTTTTCTTTGACCAACCTGAAATTGAATTCTGTTATCTTTAAAGTCCTCTGCCATCTAACTCCTCGCTTAAAATGAAATCAGCCAACATCAAATTGTAACTTGAAAAAAAAAAAAATAAAACAGGTAACATTAATATCACTGAACAACTCTGAAGCTTTCAAGTCAAGTCTAGGCAATCTATAAATATGGTTTGTCTGATAAGTCAACTAATGCTTTTTGAACCATTTGAGAGTCTTTATTGTCGAATCTTGGGTTATCTACCCGTCAGTATTATTAAACGAAGTTTGTTGAAACGCGTAGCACCGAATGATGGAAAGATGAAGACGGAAAGATTCGAAAGATTTTCTCTTTCATACCGTAAAGTGAATATTCCATGCCAAGTCTAGACGCAGCAACACTCAATAGAATTAATTCTAGAACGTCGGAGTTTTTAAGTATATGATTTCAAAAATCAACAAATAGTTTCTATGCTGGCTTAGGAGGGATACCAGATATGTTACTTCTATGTTTTATCTTGCAAAATGTGTGAGACGTTCACGAAAAGTTCCATCTGGTTCACTGAGTTCATGCGAGACAAAAAATTATCACAAACCTCTTAAAAACCTTTCTTGTCGAAATCCAATCGCCTCTTACGATCATTCGGCCGACAAACGAGTACAGAGAGGTTGTAGCATTCTTTATGGTAATAATGATAATAGTTTAAAGCAGTTTTCCTTTGGAACGCAGTCGAGTACCCTTTTGTGATGTTTTCAAAGCTTCTGCATGACATTACGTAATTGAGTGCAATCAAGTCACTAATGTTCAAACGTGATCACTTGACATGACAAACGTGACTGTGATGTCTGACATGATTTCCCATCACATTTCTGAAATGTTCCTGTATTTGTTTTTCTTCTGGTAAATTTGAATTATTTTAAGTAAAGTGCGCATCGAAATCGCTGATAAGCATAGATAATGATTTTAACTTTGCCGTAAACGAAGGAAAAATAGACTTCAAATGCTGGACTTGTTTCACGTGCTATGATCGATCTATGAATTTTTAGCTGCACACGACTTTTGAGACGTACCAATGAGTAACAGAGAAAGGCCCTTGAAGGTGGTACGATTCTGTTGTGCAGTAGGAACGCGCATTCTGTAAATCAAAGTGTTCAACACAAATCTCCAAAACATTTGGAAATAAAACTGAATACAATGGCCATACCCCACCTTGTCTGCAATGCGCTGTGTTTACACATTTTTTCGCCTCCCACTTATTTCTACTTAACAAGATCATCTGAGAACGATTCACATCTTTTCTGTCACCGAAACCTACGCGAACTTATTCAAGGGAAAAAATTACGAGATACACAATTCATAGAAGTAAGTACATATCGCTATCTTACTCTTCTTTCGCTTACCTTTTGAGTTTATAATTTGTTATGTCGCAAACTCGGCCTAAACTCTGATTGTGAACAAACTAAGGTTCTTTCGTTGACTTTTGATTATTCAACGCTTGTTAGGACGCAAACAGCTTTGCTTCGATTGTCTATTACCATCACACGAGGTAGCGGCACGTGTAGTGCGAAACACACGAGACATCCGCACGTGGGACTCCAGCACGTGCGGCCTGTAAAAGAAATCGATTAAGAGGAAAAGTCTTTCACCCTGAAAAGTCGTTTTCTGGATATCTTCGTAGGAAAATCAAGGAAAAAGAAGTTTTTTCCCTCGTTTCTTTCTTTTTTTTTGTTTTTCGGTGTGTTGTTTCGGTCGCAGTCATATCATATCTGTGTTTGCGCAAGATACCACGTGCTCGTTTACCCTACAGCCGAGGATACCTGGCACGAGTTCCGGTCTACTTTCAGTGTCAGTTTTCTCCGTCAAACGAAATACTCAGGGCAATGAAAATGTTTATAATTTCCTCGTTGGAAGTCTGTTCGATTTGAAAAAACAATTTATATTTTTAGACTAGTAGTAGTAGTATCTTAAGTTAAACTCGGTAAAAAAAAAAAATCTTCAGTAGAAACAACAATTATCGATATACAATATTAAATTGCCTCTAATGATAAAAAATTTTGACAACTAATATATACCGTGCAAGGCGATAAAACGTAAAGTGTGCATGTAAAAGTGACAAATTTAAATAAAATTTAAATAAATAGTTTTGCGCGTATGGGGTCTGATTGTGTGTTCAAGCATGGCCTTTTCTTCTTTACATGTCCAGCCACCTCATTTACATGTCATTAAATAAGAATAGCGTCTATTGTGTCATGCCTTGCTCCTCAAAGCCTCCCGACACATATAAATGAGGTGGACGGGTATTCTGAAGTTGCTCCCACTTCTTTAAGACGGAAAAGTTGTTGGTAAGGTCGCCGATGGTTTCCAGACCGTGGTCGTTCTTTAAGTGCTTGCCAATTGTTGAATAACGGTGCGGTGTTCGTCGATACGTTGTGTAAGTGTCGGCTGGTGTAGCCGACATACTCTGCATCACACAGATCACATTTACAACTGTACACAACGCATTGTTGACTAATTATGGGTGGTTTTGGCTCGCACATCTTGAGGTCTTCACATATTTTGCGACTCTTGAACACAGGTTGAAGAGTGTGATCGATTTGTTGCTTAGATCTGATAAGTGTTTTTTCGCTGCATCAGCTGACTTTTGATCTTTAAAAGGCAAAACCACTTGGTGAACAGAATTTTTGTTGGTGGACTGAGCTTGCACATCAGGGTTTTTCCCCCTCACTGAGGTGACAAAGTGACAGATAGTGGACTTGATTAGGCTTTCGGGGTACTTGAGGTTAGTAAACATCACCTTGAGATGATCACATTCAGATTTGAATGACTCCCAGGTGGATGACAAATGAAACGCACGATTTAACATGGTCTTGAGTAGCGATTTCTTGTACCTCTCATCTACATGGCTTTGGTGGTGAAGAAGGAGGCCGGTGTTTGTTGGTTTCCGATAAACACTAGTTTCCAGTTTGCATCCTTTCTTGAGCACTTCCATACCGCCGGATAAAGGGTAATTTGTTATTAAAATGCTAGTTCCATGGTGAAATTTATGGATGGATGACAGCTATTAAGCGTTGATAAGAAATCTTGTGCTGCTGGTACATTTTTCATTGTAGTAAATGTGTCATTCACGTACCTTCTATAAAATTCAGGGAGCTTGTTGTCTTGTTCTAGCTTCTCTTCGATAGAACAGAGAAAGGCGTTTGCCACGAGTGGACCCAAAGGGAAACCCATTGCCACGCTGTCGATCTGTTCGTAAAGCTTGCCATCAAACTGGAATAGTTGATTTATAGTTGCAACCTCTAGAAGTCGAACTGGGTCAGGTTTTGTAATGTTAAGGTTGTGTGTAACATTGAACCAGTTGTCAACAAACGCCTTCTCAGCGATGGTTCCGATAGTTTCTTGAAGCGGTACATTAGTGAATAGTGACGTGACGTCAAAGGATACGAAAATGTCATTCTGGTCGATGACAAGGTTTTGAATCTCTTCAGCTGAAAGAGAAGGTACGTATGATGCACGATCCTTCGCAGTAGATAGCGCTATTTATGCAATAGCGAAAATCAGACCTGAAAAAAATCAGGCCTGTAGGGGATTCGAACCACTGACCTCTGCGATACTAGTGCAGCGCTCTACCAATTGAGCTAACAAGCTAACTGGGAGCAGGCCGTTAAGTTGATTCGTAATAAACCCGTACAGGCCTGATTTTTTTCAGGTCTGATTTTCGCTATTGCATAAATAGCGCTATCTACTGCGAAGGATCGTGCATCATACGTATTTAATATCGCAGTTCAAAATATATGAACTTCATATATTCATTGTAAAAGAGAAGGTATCCGATATTGTATAGCGATTGACTGACAAGGACTTCAATTTTTGATCGAGCCACGTGGCGAGGGCATAGTTGTATGTAGAATAGGTCTCATTGATAGTTTCTCTTTGTGTGTCTTTGGAAGTCCATAAAGATGGGCAAGGCGTGAACCCGCCTGACAAACACAATCGGCAATCTGCTTTGGTAAAATATTCCGTACTACAGATTCGAGATGTTTCTCCTTCTGCAGTAGGAGGTGGTAAACTAATGCTTTACTGGGCGGCCTCTCGCTGTTGGTCTTTGTAAGCTGACAGGGGTAAACTTCGATGTATCATTGATAGATGCCTGGCTCAGCAGGTTAACATAATCAGATTTTTTCATGATGACTACAACAGTGCCTTTATCCGGTTTGGTGACAACGATGTTGCTAAGTCGTTTTAATTGCTGTATAGCCCTTAGCAGTGGTTTTGGCGGCTTCGGTGATTTGCACTCGATGTCATTAAGTGCGATGGATCGAAGGATCGCGGCGGCTAAAGCTCTTTCTTGTCATCAGCAAGAATACGATCCAGTTTCCAATAGAACTTTTCGAAACTCGCTTGTATATCGATGGCAGATATGCACTGTGGGAGGGAGAACTTTAAACCTCGGCAGAGAACAAGCTTTTGGAAGAATGAGAGTTTGTGTGATGAGATATTTTGTAGGTGCTTGTCAACATCTCATGATCCTTGTTTAAAAGTTTCACTATCTTTTTGGTGTGTTTGGCCATTACACTCTCAATGTGTTTCTTCCATAGTTTTGTCATAGTTCTTACGATGCACATGTTTTGGAGCGGCGAGCAGTTTAGACGGATTTCGTCGTAAATCGCGTTAATCTCATCCTTCAGGTTCAGGGTCGCCTTCGGTTTGAACTTTGATCTAAGTTCTTCTCTGGTGACATTAGTACTGAATTGTGGGCTTCTTGGAAAGTAGCTTGTAGCTAAGTGTGGAGCCACATTAAATAAGAACTACTACGACTACTACTGTTCGGAAGCCTTCGACCACTTTTTAGACTTTGTCTGATAAACTTTGGCAAGAGTCGGTGTCAGCTCGAAATTCTGGCAAAGATGAAGAAACTCAATAGCTCCATCATTCAAGAAACGAGCCCCTGAATTTGTTTCCCCTTAATTATTGTAATCTTCACCTCTATAAAGCGGTTGCGTTCACCTTTTACCAAGTTCGAACAGCCTTTTTCAGTACTGTCTTCCATTTGTATTGAACGGCCACTTAAGATGGAACCACTGAAATAATACTAAGCATAATATTTCAAGTAAAATTTAATTAATTTTTATCTTCCGAAAAGTACTACTTAAAAGTGACTTCTTGTACTCAAGTTGTAAATTGAAATTATGGCATGAAATGGTTATCGTCTTTTAAAATACCTCTATTCTGTGGAACTGTGTTAGGCGGATCACCTGTATTAAGTGGTACCGGGGGTGACCGCCATATCAAACTCACGGGGTACAAAAAGTCTCTTACTGAATTTCGTGACCACGCCCACTTCATCGGCCCACTCAAATCGAGTGCGATTTTTGGATGTTATATCATCTTGCCGACTCTCTGTATAAAAAGTTAACAATGTACCACCGAAATATTGAACTATAATATCATGGCTTTCCATTTTGTGTATTTTCGTACTACAAAGTAAAGTTTTTCCCTCGTCATTTTCACCTTTTCCCGAGCGGGTCCGTCAAAATTAAGAAGGCGTTCGTGGTCAAAACAAGACCGAGCAAGGAGTCTTGGGCGATTTCTCTCTTACGCAAGCGCAAATTGAAAATGTACCGCCAAAATCAAAGAGAGGAACAAATTTCCTTTGTTTTGATATGTAAATTGTCGAACAAGGAGCAGACTGAACCTCGTCAAATGGCTAGTCAAAACAGCCACACCTTCCTCCTTTTGCTCGTTTCCTGTTTTATAAGCGTGAAAGCAGTGGGAGAAGAATCGGGTAGCTCGGAAAGCGCTTCACCATCGTTTACTTACGAGATAAACAAGTAAGATTTGTAAAGTTATTTTCCGAAAGAGTCGGAATAAATACATTTTTTTCAGGTTAGATTGCTGTTTTTACCCTAAACGTCGTCCAATAAATTTTTGTTGCAGCCTACTAATCTATACAATTTCGAAGGAAAATATTCAGATGCTTCACCGTCCCCGAAGGGGGTTCTGTCCTGGTGTACCGGTTCACAAGGGAATTACCATTGTTCTTTCTTTGTTTAGGAGTTATCGGTTAGCTATTGTGTATTGTTTGGTCTTTTGTATTGGCTCTTGTGAACCGGTACACGAGGACAGAACCCCGAAGGGTCTCCACTCATCGAAGCGTGTACTGTAGCCAATGTAGTGAATTTTCAGTCTCTTGTTGGGTTTGTCAACCTCCGTGACTTCAATATCATACAATTTTGTATCTTTTCTCTGTGAAATGACCTTTTTAACAGGGGTGTATGCTGAGTATTCGTTGCAGAATCGCTTTGGTTCTCTTATCTCTCTCTTTGGCTTGTCCGCCATTTTGAAAATTTGCTCAGGAGGGCATCTGGGTTAGCGGCCGCGCCAGGCTGGAACCGACAAAAACAAATGTCCATCGCAGTGGGGAAACAGTTTGATATGAAAATTTTAATTA